AAATTTATGTAAAATCTCAAAGTAAAGATACTATCATCAGTGCCTGCTTTAGTTGCAAGGGGAAAGTGAAATCGTTTACTGTCACTGGTGCATTTGCCATGGGTCTAGTACTTGTGTTCCACCAGAGTAGATGGAATTGCCATCTGATGTGATTTGAGGGGACCAGGAAGACTCCCTACCCCCATGCAGCCTGAGAATACTTGTCGCTGGTCCTGAATCCTATCAATTAATGCATTATTTGGGTTGGCTTCACAGTTTACAAAATACTTTTCTATAGATTAGCTGTCATGGAAGCAGAGTTACCTCTATTCAGAAAAGGATGAACAGTTACCCCACAGGGGGGCTATTTTCCTTCAAATGGAAAGTAAAATAAATTTAGGGCGGTGATGTTCATGTCCCACCCATATCTACCAGCCAGAATTAACCGAATCAGATTGAGCCCTTCCTAAATCCAGTTAAGATTTGCTGAGATGAGATTAATCTTATTAGATTAGTTTTGCATAAAAAGGAAGTGAGAAAAGGAAGAAGTAACTTTGAGTCTTCTAGAGGAGAGCAGGCACAAACTAAGCCAAGAAAAGCAAGTGTGAGAATTCCAGAGGCAGAAGTCACTTCTGGGTGGCTGACATAAAAGCTCTAATGCCAGCGTTCTCTGGGAACACGCTGTCTGCTGTCCTGGGTACCCCTGCAGTTTAAAAGAATCTACTAGTTTATAAGGTAATTTCTTGACTGTCTGCCGTGAGCCAGAGAGATACTGTCATTTTCAGATGGACAACATACTCTCGGGTAGAAGAAGAGATGGAGGTCTGAAGGGAAAAAATCTGACTTTGGCAAAGCAGGGTGTTTAGGACTTGGCTTGCCACATTGGCAAGTTCTCTTGAGTCTACGTCCATTACGCTGTTTGAAGAGACGCCCAAAGGTTCTGGGGGGCAAGCGACGCCACATCTCACCCCAGACCTGCTCCTCCCCCACAGCCTCACAGGGCCAAGATGGGACACTCGTATCCTTCACAACCCAGGTCAAGGCTGCATGGCTATTCCGGGTGAAAACAGAAAATTCACCTCTCAGCTGGAGTGAACAGAACTCTACTGACCTTCCCAGATGCAGAGAAGTTATAACTTCCTCCCAAAAATGTGAGAGGAAAATTGCAGTTTAAGTAGTTTAATTAGGAATACTGTGAACTTGTGTTTTGCATATATAAACTTTATCATGTGCTGGGCATTTGTACATAGATGCCCAGTATGGGATTGTATGAACAAAATTATGTATACGGTAATTTATGGGCAATTGAAAAGATTTTGAAGGATAATTTTGATTACATTTTTAAAAATATTCTTTATGGGTAGAGTTTAGAATCTAACTCTGGTAAGATGTGATGATACTAAATATTAAGTTTATCTACACTTTCCTTTTTTCTTGTTTCCTTTTCCTTTTTTTTTTCTTTAACATCAGATAGGTAATGTGCCGACATTGTAACAAGGTCTGAGGCAGGTATATCTCCCACAAAAGGGCAAAAACCCAATTGTCACGCTTAGAACTACAAAAGAATCATATCTACACTTTTGTATGTATCATGTGTTTACTTCCTGTCAGCCTGTTTTGTTTTGTTTTGTGTTTGAGATAGAGTCTCACTCAGTCAACCAGGCTGGAGAGCAGTGGCGTCATGGCTCACTGCAGCCGCAAACTCCTGGCCTCAAGCAGTCCTCCCGCCTCAGTCTCCTAAAGTGCAAGCATTACAGCTGTGAGCCACTGTGCCTAGCCATATCAATCTTTTTTGTTTGGCCTGGCAGTTTGTTCAGATCAGAGTTAATCTTATTGCTTAAAATTATGTCCCATAATTCCATTTTGTAATGTCTAATTATGCCTTAATTGAATTGAAATAGACAAAGCTCAAAATACCTGCTCTAAAAAGAACTCTTCTTGGCTAGGCATGGTGGCTCACACCTGTAATCCTAGTACTCTGGGAGGCCAAGGCAGGCAGATTGTTTGAGCTCAGGAATTTGAGACCAGCCTGAGCAAGAATAAGACCCCATTTCTACTAAAGAAATAGAAAGAAATTAGTTGGACAACAACAACAAAAAATATATATATATATAAAAATTAGCCGGGCATGGTGGCGAATGCCTGTAGTCCCAGCTACTCTGGGACTACAGGCCTGAGACAGGAGGATGCTTGAGCCCATGAGCTTGAGATTGCTGTGAGCTAGGCTGACGCTACGGTACTCTAGCCCGGGCAACAGAGGGAGATTCTGTCTCAATAAATAAATAAATAAATAAAAACATAAAAAGAACCCTTCTTGATTTTTCTCAAGGCATGTTCACCTATCAGGCATCTACATTCCATGTGATTCTGAAAAAATGTGCCTGCATGGAACACTCAGCCAAACCCTAGAGGGCATTGATCTGTGACCTCCTTCCTGAGCTGGGGCTCCTACTTCCACATGCTTCCTGCATGGCCCCAGGCACCTCACACCTAATCCTGGAAAACAAAAATTTACCTTTTCTCCTGCAGTGCTGTCACCATTTGCCATTTGACTGATGGGATAATGCACAGTGCCCCGCACAGATTAGGTGCTTTAAAATAGTAGCTAAAACTATTTCTACTGTATCTTTGTCCTTGTCATCAGCCCTGGCTCTTCACTCTTTAACTCTGACCCTCCCGAAATCCAAATGATTCTATCCCAGATCCATCTGTCTCTCCAAGATCCTCCTCTGCACTTCCGTTGCCAGCTCTTGGATTCTGGCCTCATTTCTTGCCTAGACAGGTGTCCTCCCTGGCCTTCTCCCTATTAGTCAGTCTTTCCTCCCTACCATCCCTATTCAGTCTTGGAGACACTATACTCTTTTGCAATCATCCTTTCTGTGTGGACAGCCTTTCCATCTTCATCTGGGAAACTCCCACTCCTTAGCAAGTCCCAGTTCAAACTTAACTGACTGAATGAATCCTTTCTTGGTTTCACCAGCCTAAGACATGTCCATTTTCTAAGTGCCCACAAAGACCAGTACTCTCAGAACCCCACTGGCTCCATTGTTTATACCACATCCCAGTCCCTGCTCTCCCAATCTCTCCCCTAAACTTTCCTCCCCCAAGAAAAAACCCCACAGTGGTGTTTTTCCCCCTAGCTCCTGGAATTTGGCAGGCTCCTTATCATGCTGTTTTCCTATGAAAGGCTTTCCCCCTTATTCAGGTTCTCCACTTTCTACCCTGTCCAGTTAATTCCTTCTAATCCTTCAGTTCTTTATTCAGTCACTTGTCCTATTACCTACTTGTCCTATTACACACTAAGGTACCAGCCACCGTTTTTTTCTTTTGCAATTTTTTTTTTTTTGAGACAGTCTAGTTCTTTTGCCTGGGCTGGAGTGCAGTGGCATCAGCTTGGCTCACAGCAACCTCAAACTCCTGACCTCAAGCAATCCTCCACCTTGGCCTCCTAGAGTGCTAGGATTACAGGCGTGAGCCACCAAGCCTGGCCCTTTTGCAATTTTTTCACAGCTGTAGTGATACATTTATTTATGAAATAGATTAGTGCTTGTGTCCCCCAGAAGGCTGTACTGTATATACTTTTATGAGTGCAGGGCCAGAAGCTTTGTATTCCCAAAACCTAGCACGGTGCTTTGGCATTTGTTTTGAATTCCTGACCTTTAGTGATCCTCCCGCCTCGGCCTCCCAGAGTGCTGGGATTATAGGCATGAGCCACCGTGCTTGCCTACACTTGTGTTGAATAAATGAATACATAAATGTCTTCCAAGCACAGTGTATGACAGAACATCTTAGAATTTCTCTGTAAGTATCTGCTAAAGAAATGAATAATAGCACCATTAATAGCTGCGCGGACGTATATAACTCTCCCAAGTTCCTTGACTTTTGAGCTTTGGGGACCAGCGTATTGGTAGTATATGATGCCCGTGGCTAATTTTTTTTTAACTTTCCCAGCCTCAAAAAACACTGTTTGGATCTGCCAATGGTCCCAGAAGAGAGCAGACACAGTAAGCAAAGTACTAGGTTAAAAACAGAAGTAAATTATCAACACATGAGAAATTGGCTTAGGGGAGCCGGAAATTAAGTTTGTGTTAGTACCTAAGATAACTTTCTCTGCTTTCGGCTTGTGAGCAGAAATTCGTGTTCTCAGTGGAGTGCTTGCTTAAAAACTTCCCACGGAAAGAGATATGTCGATGGTGGGGAGGTTGGAGATAGTGGGGCCAAAACTATCCTCTGGCTTCTAAAATCCATATAAAAAGTACCATCTTGCTTTCACACACACTATTTTTATAGATCTTACATGGAAAAGTCCGTAAATGTCTCAGACACTGGCATTTGCTCATTGCACCCATCAAAGAATAATTATGTATGTCGCTTTCTTTATCCTAATTGGGGACTTTGTGGATGAGTGAAGAGAAAAAGGAATGCTTTCCACCATCCACTTTTCAGCTAAAGTGAGCCTCTGAAACTCTCCCCGCTCGTGCTGGAGAGCGCTCAGACTAACGCAGGCCCGGCCCGCGTCCCCTTCAGGGGTGGGGTCCCCGGCGGCCGCAGCCCGCTTCCTTTTCTTCGGAAGGGGCGGAGTTGGGAAGGGCCGGTGGAGGCGCCGAGCGGCGTCAGCGAGCGAGGCCCGAGGGCCGGGAAGGGCAGGGGCAGCCCCGGGGCGGCGGCCAGCGCGGGCGCGCGTCCCCTCCTGCCCGGCCAGGGGGCAGTGGTCGCGCGGCGGGAACAAAGTCCCGTGAGGGACGCGGAAAGAGCGCCGCTGACCCGGCAGGCAAGCGCTGGCGTCCCGCGGGCCGCCGGAAAGAGCGGGACGCCAGGGTTAGTTGGGCGCGCGGGCGCAGCAACGGCACTCGCGGAACCCGAGCACCAGCAGCCGCCCCTGCGGACCGGCGCCGCGATGCCCGCGCGGGCCGCCACCGGCCGCACCGAGGCTTCTGCGCCTGCGCGCTCGCGGGAAGCCCCGCCCCCTCGGGGCTCCCGGCGCGCGGGGCCGCGCCTCCTCATGGCTGCCGCCGCAGTGTGTGGTATTTAGCGGGAGCGCGCGGCGGGCTCGAGGACGCGCGAAACGGCGGCGGCGGCGGCGGCCAGGGGGGAGCCGGGGCGGCCGTTGCGGGGCGCGCTCTCGAGCGGCGGCGGCGGCCCAGGGTGTCCCGTCGGTCGCGGTGTGGAGAAGAGGCCGTGGCACTGCCCACGGTGGCGGCTGTTGGCGACGGGGCGCGTTTGAGCCAGGGCCGGGGTCCGAGGCGCGCTCTCCGCCCACAGGTAAGGGGGCCCGGCTTGGAGGGAGGAGCGGCGGTGAGGGCGCCGCGAGAGGAGGGCGCCGGCCCCGGTAATGGCGGCGGGCGGGAGTGCGGCCGGCCGGGTCGCGCCGCCGGGGCCCGGCGCGGCGGCGCCTTTGTCTCGGCCCGAGCCCTCCGCCGGCCGAGCGCCGCCCCGCCCTCCCCGCGCCGCGCCGCCGCAGCTGCGCGCCCCTGTCCTGGCGCCCGGGCCGGCGGGGCGCGGCGGGCGGCGGGGGTCGGCCCCGGGCCGTCGGGCCGGGGGCGGAGGAAGGGCTGGACTGCAGCCGGCCCCGCGCACCCGGGAGGCGGGCCTGGCCGGGGGAGGCGCCGGCGCGCCCCGCGCCCTCGTGCCGGCCTTTGTTGTGGAGGGTCCCGGGGTGTGCGGCCAACATGGCGGAGGTCAGCTGAGTGCGGGCCGCGCCGGCCCTGCCCCCGCCCCGCGCCCGCCCCGCGCCGGCCTTGGCCTCCGCTCCCGGCTGGCCCCGGCGGGATCCGCCCGCGACGGTGCTGCGTTCGGCTCCCGCTCCGGGCTGCGGCTTCATTGTGCGGTGGGAAGAATGCAGCCGCCTCCCTTGTTTGTGTCGTTCGCGAGGAGCGCTCGTGAACGGCCTGCCGGGGAAGCTCCAGCTTTCTGTTACAAAGCTTGCATTTCCGAGACTACATTTGCTAGGTAGTTTGGGGTTCTTTCTGGACTCTCCCAGATTTATAACTTAGGAATGTGGATAAGCTGGGCCACAGCGATGCGTAGGTTTTTCCTTGCCGCCTGTCTGCTCCTGGAGAGATGAAGAATTTGTTTGCTCTGACATGCAGAAAAGTCCAGTTTGTGTGTTCGGAAAATCAGGTTGTGTGTAGCAGTTTTGTCAGAGTCATAGAGGCTGCGGACATGGATGTAGGACAGCGATCTGACCGCCTGTTCCTAGCAGTTGAACATTTACCTTGATAAGCGGCTGTCAAGGATAAATTGTTAACTCTTTTAAGCAGTCGAATGTTTATAGAGTATGGGCTCTGAGTCAGACTGTCCCCTTTGGGTCAAATCCTTCCCCACTAGTTTGTGACCTTGGACAAGACATTTAACCTCTCTGTGCTCCATTTTCTTTATCTGCAAAATGGGTGTAATGAATGACAGTACCTACCTCAAGCACTGTTGAGAGAATTGATGAGGTGATTACAGTTGAAGAGCTTAGAGCGGTGGCAGCCCGTAGTAGTAAGTGCTTAATAAATGCGTGCTGCTAAGGCTGTTGTCTAATCACTAAACTTTAGACGGTGTTATTGTGGCTTGATGGATAAGTTGGAAGTGCACAGTCCAGAATTTGTGAACTCAAAGTTATAAATCTTTAATGCTGGGGTTTTCCTTTTAGTGCTTTTTGTTGTTAAAAAGGAAAAGGGTTTATATGATAGGTTTTTTGAGGTGATGGCATTTTGGAAATTTCTGTGATAGGGGATTTGAATAGATAGATCTTAATGTCTGGAATTAAAAAAAACCAAATTGATGTCGTTTTTTAGTGAGTTTAGATTTATGGATCAGTTCACTTTCTTTTTCTTATTTATTTCTTAGAGACAGGGTCTCTGTCACCCACACAAAATGTAGTAGCCTATTCATAGCTTACTGTAACCTGGAACTCCTGGGCTTAAACGATCTTCTTGTGTCAGCCTCCCAAGTAGCTGGGACTACAGGCACGGCACCACTATGCCTGGCTAGTTTTTCTATTTTTTTTTTTTGACACAAAAGTCTCACTCTGTTGCCCTGGCTAGAGTGCCGTGGTGTCAGCCTAGCTCACAGCAACCTCAAAGTCCTGGGCTGAAGCAATCCTTCTGCCTCAGCCTCCCGAGTAGTTGGGACTACAGGCACGGTGCCACCATGCCCGGCTAATTTTTTCTATATACTTTTAGTCGGCCAATTAATTTCTTTCTATTTTTAGTAGAGAAAATATGCTCAGGCTGGTTTCGAACTTCTGACCTTGAGCATTGCCCGCCTGGGCCTCCCAGAATGCTAGGATTACAGGCGGGACTCCCACCGCTTCACAAAGTTTTAGGTGACTGCTTGATTGTATTTCAAAGCAGTTGATTTACACAATTTTAAAGATTGGGGTTGCTTTGCTTAAAGAGACAAGACCTATTATAGACTTTTACGGAATTTCTGTATTCACCTTGTAAAAATGTTGTAAATTCTAGATATTTTGGGTACAGACTTCATTTTCAATAAAATCTGTATGAAAACCTCAGGTCTCTTCCCTGACCCCCCACCCCGCACGCCCCACCCCCCGCCCATGGAATGAAATTTTCCTCTTTACAGTATGTATCCTTTTTTTTTTTTTTTTTTGAGACAGAGTCTCGCTTTGTTGTCCAGGCTAGAGTGAGTGCCGTGGCGTCAGCCTAGCTCACAGCAACCTCAAACTCCTGGGCTTGAGTGATCCTTCTGCCTCAGCCTCCCGAGTAGCTGGGACTACAGGCATGCGCCACCATGCCCGGCTAATTTTTATATATATATCAGTTGGCCAATTAATTTCTTTCTATTTATAGTAGAGACGGGGTCTCGCTCTTGCTCAGGCTGGTTTTGAACTCCTGACCTTGAGCAATCCGCCCGCCTCGGCCTCCCAAGAGCTAGGATTACAGGCGTGAGCCACAGCGCCTGGCCTACAGTATGTATCCTTAATGGTGATGCACTTAAAATGATTTCAGTTCCTTGGCAATGGGTTACTAGAACATCTGCATAAGAGCAGGAATGGTGGGGTGTTTTTTTTTTTTGGAGAGTCTTGCTCTGTTCAGGGCTTACTACCACCTCAAATGCCTGCAACTCAGTGATCCTCCTGCCTCAGCCTCCTGAGTAGCTGGAACTACGGGCATGCACCATCCACCTGGCTAATTTTTTATTTTTTGTAGAGACAGGGTCTTGCTATGTTGCTCAGGCTGGTCTCAAACTCCAGGCCTCAAGTGATTCACCTGCCTCACCCTTCCAAGGTGCTACGATTATAGGTGTGAACTCAGCCTGTGTGTGTGTGGGAGGGGGGTTATACCCATATCCTCAATATCTAGTGCTCAGTACATATTTGTTAACTCACCTACTACTATCTATATGCTAGTGAAACTTGCATATATTTTCTTAGCAGATTTTTTTTAATAGACTTCTTTAGAAGCAGCTTTAGGTTCACAGCAAAATTGAGTGGAAGGCAGAGATTTGTCATATAGCCCTTGTCCCTAGGCACACTTGCATAATCTTCCCCATTATCAACATTCCCCACCACAGTGGTACATTTGTTACAATTGAACATACATTGACACATCATTTTCACCCAATGTCCCTAGTTTATTTTGTTTATTCTTGGTGTTGGACATTTTATGGGTTTGGAAAAAAGTATAATGATGTACATGAAAACATGAATGAATAGTTCATTGCCCTAAAGATCCTCTGTCATGTATTCATCCTGTCACCCCCAACCATAGATGTTTTTACTATCTTGATAGTTTTGCTTTTTCGAATGTCATATGTGTAGTTGGACTCATACAGTTATGTAGCCTTTTTAGATTGGCTTCTTTTTTTTTTTTTTTTGAGACAGAGTCTCACTTTGTTGCCCAGGCTAGAGTGAGTGCCATGGCGTCAGCCTAGCTCACAGCAACCTCAAACTCCTGGGCTCAGGTGATCCTCCTGCCTCAGCCTCCCAAATAGCTGGGACTACAGGCACGTACCACCATGCCCGGCTAATTTTTTTGTATATATACTTTTAGTTGGTCAATTAATTTCTTTCTATTTTTAGTAGAGACGGGGTCTTGCTCAGGCTGGTTTCGAACTCCCAACCTCGAGCAATCCGCCCGCCTCAGCCTCCCAGAGTGCTAGGATTACAGGCGTGAGCCACCGCGCCCGGCTAGATTGGCTTCTTTAACCTAGTAATGTGCATTTAAGTTTCTTGCATGTCTTCATGGCTTCATCTCATTTCTTTTTAGTGCTGAATAATCTGTTGTCTAGATATACCGTAGTTGGTTTATCCCTTCACTTTCTGAAGGACATCTTGGTTGCTTTCAAGTTTTGGCAATTGTAAATAAAGCTGCTTGAACATCCATGTGCAGATTTTTGTGTGGACATAAGTTTTTAACTCCTTTGGGTAAATACCAAGGAGTGTGATTGCTAGATCATATGGTAAGAGTGTGTTTAGTTTTGTAAGAATTTTCCAGGCTGTCTTTCAAAGTGCCTGTACCATTTTGTATTCCCACCAGCAAGGAATGAGAGTTCCTGTTGCTCTATACTCTTGCCAGAATTGGGTGTTGTCAGTGTTCTGGATTTTGGCTATTCTTAATAGGTATATAGTGGTATCTTATTTTTTTTTTAATTAAAAAAATTTTTTTTGTGGTGTCTTATTTTTAACTTGTATTTCCCTGGTGACATATGAGGTAGAGCACTTTTACATATGCTACTTGCCATCTGTATTTGTATCTTTGGTGAGGAGTCTGTTAAGGTCTTTGGCTCATTTTTTTTAGTCAGGTTGGTGGTTTTCTTGAGTTTTAAGAGTTCCTTGTATATTTTGGATAACAGTTCTTTATCAAATATGTCTGTAGCAAATATTTTCTTTTTTCTACTGTCTAGCTGTCTTGAAGCTGGCATTGCTTTTCTCTCTTCAACATTTTTTTAAGTTTTTGAGATGGAATCCAAGCCTGGGTTAGGGTGCAGTAGTGTCATCATAGCTCACTGTAACCTCCAATTCCTGGGCTTACGCAGTCCTCCTGGCTCAGTCTCTCTGATAGCTGGGACTACAGGCAGGTACCACCATGCCTGGCTGATTTTTAAATTTTTATAGAGTTGGGTTTTGCTATATTGTTCAGGCTGGTCTTAAACTCTTGGCCTCAAGTGTTCTTCTGCCTTGCCCTCCCAAGGTGCTAGGGTTATAGGTATGAGCCACTGTGCCTGGCCTAAGTGAGCCAAAGCTCACTTTTTAAGTCAGGTTCACTTCAGGTGAACCTGACTTAAAAAGCCTTCAGTATAAAGACCTAACT